GCTTATGAAACAGAGCAAACCAAATGCTCCAAATCAATGAAACTGCCAGTTTCAATTCAAGAAGGTGAGCCTTTTCGGCTCAACACATTTACGTTTTTGCATCTTCAACAAAGTTCCTCTCTTGAAGTCTCCGTGCTTGAGAATGAAACCCACAAACCAAATTATATGGATTATCAATCCATCATGGGTGGCAACCCGCAAATCAAGCAAATGGATGGCAATCCATATTGGGTGGCAACCCACAAATTGATAATGCTCTGCCGAGCGAATCTCCATACTCTGCTGAGCAAATCTTCATGCTCTGCAGAGCGAACCGCCATGCTTGGGTACAAAACCCATAAACTAAATCCATTTTGAGTGTCAAAACTCATAAACCGAATTCTCTTGGAAGATCCTCTTGTCCTGTGGTTGTTAGGCACCCAGTTACAACAAACAAACCAAAAAAATTAAAGGAGGAAAGCAGCCCCGTTTTGGGAAGAGGGTTTGGTGTTGTTTGCATACAGACGCAACATACTAAGAAAAACAAGAAGATGAAGAACAGCCACGCTTGTTGGAGGAACGCTTGGTGCGTGCAATTAAAAAAAAAAGATAGACTTGCAGCCACGTCTTGAATTCTTGGCTTGTTGTTGCATATAGCAGCAACAAACAAAAAAAATGACAGCCACCTTGAAAGGCAGAAGAAGAGAACAGCAACAAACAAAAAGAAGGAAAAAGGGCCAGCCACCCAACATAAAAAAGAAGAGGAAAACAAGTGACTGTACGCCACAGTGTTTGTACACTTAAAGGATGAGCTGCACACTGGTCCATTTTGTCACAAAGACCACAGTTGTGAACCAACTTTTGTTCATGGGTCAGTCAAAATATGAAAGGCCCGAAATAGATTAACGGGCTGTCAAAAATAATTGCCCGTTAATGCTCAAAAGCCTAAAATATTTAATGAGTGATCAAATAAATACTTATTAAATTTATGGAGGCCCAAATTGCCTATTATATGATTCACAAATCAATTATAAAAATCCTGATAGCTATATTTGGGTCCAAGTGCAAATGTCAATGGTAGAAAATTAGTGGGTTTATCAAAATTGCTCATTATTTTTCTCGGACATTGACAATAAGAGAAATGGTACAGCACCATCCAACTTTTTCCATGGGTCATTTACCTATGCAAATTTCAATGAGATGAATTCCAAATTTCTCAAACACAAATTCTAAATTAGTGGGCCACACTTACCCATTAATCTCCAATTTTTCTCATGGGTCATCTACCTATGAGAATCTCCAAACTGTCTCAAGGACACACATTCCAAATTATTGGGCCACACTCACCTATTAATTTCCAAATTTTCTCATGGGTCATTTATCCATGAAAATTCCAATGAGATTAAATTTGAGTCTCAAAATTAGTGGGCTACATTTACCCATTAATTTCCAATTTTCTCATGGTCATCTATTCATGAAAATTCCAATGAGATTAAATTCAAATATCTCAAACATAAATTCTCAATTAGTGGGCCACACTTACCCATTAATTTCCAATTTTTCCCATAAGTCATCTACCTATGAAAATCTTCAAATCGTCTCAAAGACACCAACTCTAAATTATTGGGCCACACTTACCCATTAATTTCTAAATCTTTGGAACTACGCCGGTTTGATCCCATCAAGAGTACATAGGCAGTCTAGCATCCCAATAGACGCAACCGCAACCAAATCCCCACAAATTAAATATCTACCTCTATACAAATTAATTCCGAACTACGTTGGTTTGATACCTTTGAAAGGGTACGTAGGCAATCTAGAGATTCAATCTAGATGCAACCATCCCAAACACAACTCCATATCGAATCTCTGGCTTAACCAGCTAAATTCACTCATACACTCCTCAATCAAATTCATTCAAATTCTTCCTTTTGCAATGAGTCATCTATTCATTGCGAATCTTTGAAATACGAGTGGCTTGATTCCCGCAAGGGATACGTAGGCATCTTGAGGTTGGACTTGGGGGCAGCCGCAAAACCAAACACTCACATTATGTTTCTTTATGATGGAATCAAAGGGTTTTCCATTGGTAACAAGGGATTGTAATTAAGAGATTTGCGTCTCCAATGGGTCGAACCTAAAATAATAAAACCCCATTAATTAATTAGTAGTGGTGAAATTATGTTAGGAGGTTCACATTTTCCTTCAACAAAGATTCAACCTTTGAAATGAGTTAATGCTCCAGCGAGCAAGGCGTGTATCCCACTGTTGAGGCCTAAAAATCCAGGGTTGGGCCCAAATAAATTATTGGCCCAACATAATGTCTTATTAAGAAAAAGACTCGGTTCGGAGCATGCAAAATTCCTCATTCATGTTTGCACATGCCACGACCACATGCCATGCCAAATAAATATGCAATCTCTCATGCTAAGAGTTGAAATAAGCACTAACTCTACGAGCCCATGCTAATTACCTCGTCAAGCATCATGCCTCTATTCAAGGACGATAAAATTAAAACACGCCGATTGACATGCCATGCTAAGTAAGAAATTATTATTTCACACCCAACCACGCTATAAGCTTAAGTGGGCCCAAGCCACGCAAATGCCCGGGGCTTGCTTGAGTGGGTTGTGGTATGGATGGTAACAAGCTTTCATGAGGCCCATTGATGAGCCAAGAAATGGAAGTTTTGGGCTGCTTGGGAGCCCCAAAACTCAAGCCCATTTCTTGAGCCCAAACACATGGGCTAGCATGAGAGAGAGAACATGACCCAATGCCTTAGATAATACAGTAGTTTGCTTAGGAAACCCTATGTTAGTTAGAGCATCCAAATACTTTGTTAAAAATGCAACAGGCAAGCTGCTTCCAGTAGCTTGACGAAAACAAGCTAACTGGTTGCTGTAGAATAAAGTATCACTGACCCAATACCATGCGTACAAGCCCAGCCCAGCAACTCGTAGAAAAGTTGTCACCATGCTCCACCCTTGTTAGGACTCCCAGACAGTCAAACAAGGAGCCATGACAGGAACCAGTGGAAATCCATGTGTGAGAGACGAATACCCATTGGACAAAGAACTCCTCCCATCTCTTTTTCCTCTGCAAGCTTCATCTTGAAAATCATGAGAGAAAGCAGGTGGCGCCTCCCCCCTTATGGGAAGGTCCAGCTGTGTCAAACTATTGGAACCACAAAGGGTTCCTTACCCATGCTCCTTAGATATGAGAATTTCACCAAATTAGATCAAGTATGAAGAAACGATGAAAAGGGAAAGGAAAAGTTAGATGAAATTAGGGTTCTTCAAGCCTATAAAAGAGAGTCTCATCTACCCAGAAAACCATCCATAGCCTAACCCATTTAAAGCTTGACCAAGCCTTGTCAAGCAACTGGAAACTCACTTAATCCACATCCAGAGAGCAAGCTTCCTCTCTTGCTTCCAAAACCCAGCAATTTCGAGCCCTATTCCTCCGTGCTTCTTCTACCTAGCAAAATAACCCATCCAAGGCTTGACCATGCTTTGTCAAACAAATTGGAAATTTTACTCAAGCCACCCAATTCTCTCCTTCTTTTGTTTTCCTCTTCCCTTAGGAAAGAAATCTGTTTAATCTTCCTCTGTTCCACTTTAACCCTTTGTTCACTGTAAGAAACTCACGCTTATCTCTCTGTTCATGCTAAACTCATGATGGTTTTGCTCACATGCCACAAGCTCCTCATGCTAAGCCATTAATCGATTTATCATGCTTATTTGGTGTTAGTGAGATGAACCTAAGAGTGTTTTTCTAAAGTCTCATCATATTTTATAAAAACCCTTTTGGGAGCTTGGTTTCAAACTCAGGCTTTTGGGGAATTTTGTTCGTTGTCTTCTTACGGCAGCCCAAGCCCATTCGTCAGGCTGCTAGAACAAAAACACCCCTACACCCACCAACCCGGGCAAGTCCACATGCAAATCCAGCGCGTGTTGATGCCTGAGCAAGTGATGTAATGCTGATGTCATGATTATGACATCAGTGGCCAATTTAAAAAAAAAAAATTGATGCTCTCTAGTGTTTCTCTTCGTGTGGAAAGCTCTCAAATCTGTTGAAAGACTTGAGGAAACAACAGCCCAAGTTCTGAACTTCAAAGAAAAAAGGACGTGGATGACGTCAACAGTCAATTAAAATAATAAAAAAATTGATGCTCTCTAGTGTTTCTCGGTGGAAAGCTCTCAAGGCATGTGAGGCAAGCAAATAAATACAGCCTGTACGGCTGCCTGGGTAAGTGATATAATGCAGCTAATTAAAATAATAATAAAAATTGATGCTCGCTAGTTTTTCTCTCCGTGTGGAAAGCTCTCAAAGTCTGTTGAAAGACTTGGGGAAAAGGACCCGTGCTCTCTCTTGCTTACCGTGAAGGAAGAGAAATCAGCAGCCCGCGTTTTCCTCCGTTCCAGCTGCTTCACATGGCTTTGTTTCCTTCTTTTGGACAAAAGAACCATTATTTCTTCTTTCAAATGTGCAGCATCATGAAAGAAACCACCGAGTGCAATTTGAGCCAACAAAGTCAACAATAACCAATGCTGCTAAAGTCTACAATTTGTTGCCAATTTCAACAATGACAAGGTTTAGGCTTGTACACATAAATGGTGAGACTCTCATGTATGTGGTGGTGCTTCAACAAAGGACATATATGAACTTAGTCTCATTTGCACGCAATGCCTATTAATTACCATGCAATTATTTGGGTCCCAAATAATAGGCAAAAACCTGAGGTCCCTCCAGTCCCACCGTGGTTTTAGACTCAGCAAGGCCAGAAACAAGAAACATTAACGAACGTAAGAATCAAACTTTTCTCTGTAATTTTCACTTCTTCACTGTAGAAAAGCTTACCTATCACCGATTGTATTACCCATTACACTTCAGATTTTCTCATTTGACAAGTCTCTTCACTATGACTAGTTCGCCTATAAAGGCGAAAGATAGGTGAGGCTCCTAGTTACCACATACTTCACTCCCAAGTATCCCGAACAATACATTACACGTTACACAAAATGGCCTTCCACTACTGCTTACTTGGGGTGCTTATGCCACTCTCATTGCTAATTGCACAAGCAGCTGCAATAACAGAAGGACCTCAATTAGCCCTCCCTCACTGCCCTTACCACTGTGGTAACCTCGCAATTCCATACCCATTTGGCATGGGTGAAGGCTGTTACCTCCGACCAGAATTCAACATCACTTGTGATCAATCCACCCAACCGCCGTCAGCCCACTGGACTGGCGGTACGAACAGGATTACCAACTTTTCTGTCGCTGATGGCGAGTTGCAAATAATGCTAGACGTAGCCAAGGATTGTTATGACAATTCGGGTGAGGAGACAGAGGACAGCCTCCCTACTTGGCTACAGCTGCCTCCTCCTTACAGCATGTCCCATACAAAAAACAATTTCACCACAGTAGGTTGTGACACTATAGGAATCTTTTTAGGTGAGCTCTCAGGGGATGGAGGCCCAAAGAAAGAAAGGGTCAAAGTCGGCAACAGCGTCACCTTCTGTGATGATATTCTTGGCGACGCACTTCCAGACTCTTGCGCTGGAATTGGCTGTTCCCAAGCTTCCATCCCTGGTGGACTGCGAAACATTTCCACTTATCTTCAAAGTCTGACCGTCGGCAATCGAACGGGGATTTATAATTGGTGGTACGCTAAATACCCTTGCAGCTATGCCTTCATTGTGGAACAAGGTACCTTCTCATTCAACCCCAAAACAACTTTTGAAGAACTCAACAACTCAGGGCTGCTTCCAGCCGTTCTGAATTGGGCAGTTGAGGGTGAGTCATGTGATGCAGCTAAACAGAACCCCAACTTTCCATGCAAGGAAAATGCCAAGTGTGTCGAACGGACGACCATCGGTGGTCCGCCTGCTTACATCTGCCAGTGCTCGTCAGGTTATCGAGGGAACCCGTACCTCCCAGATGGTTGCCAAGGTAATAAACTCTATAGCCTACACACACACAAAAAATATATATATATATATATATATAGATATGTGTCTAATGAATTAATAGTGTTCACTTGCCTGACTCTGTTCAAACCCTTTGTTAAACTATGAATATGAACCATTGATAAGGCTCATGCCTGAATATGTGACCTAAATTCACAGTTGTCCGGCAACATAAATCTGACAAGAGAATAATTATACTCTTATAATAACATGTGAATATGTGTGTTAGTTGTTTTTACAGGAAAGCTAAAGATTGGAATTTTGCATGATGTTATGTGATAAATTTGGTTTTCCTTGCTATTCAGATATTGATGAGTGCAAGGAGTCAAACCCTTGCAGTATTGGAACGTGCGAAAATTTTCCTGGAGAATATTCTTGTAAATGTCCCGAAGGGTACAAAAACGACGGCAAGAATCAAAAGAGTTGCATCAAACACAAACACAATCCCAGCTCAGACAAAAAAAAACACAATCCCAGCTCAGACAAAAAAAAACACAATCCCAGCAATCGATGGAAGATCATTCTCCTGGCTGTTATTTCATTGGGTATGTTTTATGTACATGTCAACATCCACCCCTATGAGAATATATCCAAAAGTTCCAACCTACGTATGTTTCCCCCTTCTCAGTACTAAACATTGATTAATCTCACTAACAGGACCCAAATTAAACTGAATAAATATCCTTCATTGTGATACATGTAATCTTATTTCGTCTTAACATATTACTCTCAGAAGCATTTTATCCTAGAAAGTAAAGCACAAGGTAGACAACAAAAACAACATCCATAATTTAATACTTTTCACTTATGTGCAGGTGTCACTACTGCAGGCCTCTTGGTTTTACTAATTGGAATTTCATGGATATATTGGGGAATGCATAGAAGAAGGCTCATGAAACTCAAAGAAAAATACTTTAAAGAAAATGGTGGCTTATTGTTACAACAACAACTTGCTAGTCAAGGAAGTTCCATGGAGACAACCAAAATTTTTGCCGCAGAAGAACTTGAAAAGGCCACTGACAATTACCATGAAAGTAGAGTGGTTGGTGAAGGGGGTTATGGAATAGTTTACAAAGGAATACTTGCAGATAACAAAGTGGTTGCCATAAAGAAGTCAAAAGTTGTCATTCCAGCTCAGAAAGAGCAGTTTGTAAATGAGGTGATTGTTCTTTCTCAAATCAATCATAGAAATGTAGTGAGGCTTCTAGGTTGCTGTTTAGAGACACCGGTGCCTTTACTAGTTTATGAATACATCACCAATGGCACTCTTTTTCATCGCATTCATGGTAAAAAGAGCGAAGGGTCATCACTTTCATGGGAATTAAGATTGAAGATTGCCGCAGAAACTGCAGGAGCATTAGCATACTTACACTCCTCTACTGCTACACCAATCATACATCGAGATGTGAAAGCAATAAATATACTGTTAGATGGAAATTACATGGCAAAAGTGTCGGATTTTGGTGCTTCGCGCTTAGTTCCTATGGATCAAACTCAAGTAACAACTCTAGTGCAAGGGACACGCGGATACTTAGATCCTGAATACCTCCATTCAAACCAACTAACACAAAAGAGTGATGTCTATAGTTTTGGAGTTGTCCTGATGGAGCTACTAACAAGCAAATTAGCGTTTTCTTTTGCCAGGCCTGAGTCAGAGAGAAACCTAGCAAGCTTCTTTGTTTGTTCAATGGAGGAAGATGGCTTGAACCGAATTTGGGACGATACCCTATTCGGTGAAGGAAATATTGAGACCCTAAAAAATGTAGCGAATCTCGCCAAAAGATGTGTCAGTTTAAAAGGGGAGGAGAGACCTACCATGAAAGAGGCAGCCTCAGAGCTAGAGGGGATGAGAATAATGGCAAAGCATCCGTGGAAAAGTTCTAATTTCTGTCCTGAAGAGACTGTTCACTTGCTCGGGTCACCTTCAAACACGAATTTTGTGGATGTTAGGGGCGATTGTGGTTCTAGTGGGCATGACAGCATGCAAATCCAAATGTTGATGTCATATAATGATGGGAGATAGTTAAAACGTGATGCAGTGACGGATGTAAATATTGTAGGAACTATATGAACCAAGGTTAGAATAGAAGTAATGTACATAGATGTATTGCAGGAACTACTATATGTGTGGAGTTTGATTTTTTTCTTTGGTTACTTGTAGCTCCAAGAACGTGACTGTTTATTCTTGTGAAGGCTATTCATGTTGATAAAGGGCGATATCAACCTCCCGTGCATATTGTAACTAAGTAGTAATAACTGCCAGAAACCAACCCCACCCTAATGTAATGAGATTCTTCTTAAGTTGATTTTCCCGCTGTTTTTGCAGTACTGTTGTGAAGAGGAAAAGATCACAACTAATGGGAATGAGCTTTTATAATGAGAGGGTAATGGTGAGGGCTAATAAGCATAAAAGCCCGAATACAAGGGTAGAATATGTTTAATTAACTAATTTATAGTATGAAGAAATCAAACATAACCTGCGATTTGTATGAACCAAAACTAAGGACGAATATTACCAAAAAAAGGTAAAATTCTGATATGGTTGAGCTACTAAAAATATGGAATGTGAACCAGACTGGTCAAGTGTGTAATTGGTTAATTAGGAGAACGATAAGTCTCAAATCGGTTGACGTGTTATTCGGGCGCCATGAGTATGACAAGGTGTGTATGTGTTAGGTGGTTAAACAAGTACATAATGATTTTGTCTCATTGCTTGACTTTGCACGCATTGACTGTTAATTACTAAACGGGATTACATTTTGATTTGGAGGGGAGAGTATTACACTTCAAATTTGGAGTGGGAAATAAACATTAAACCCATACTAAACGGGATTACATTTTGATTGAGGTATCTTTTCAATTAAATTACTAAAGATCTCTTCCCCTAAGAATTAGTAAAAATCTTTTCCTTCAAATTCCAAAGATGATTATAGTAATTCTTAGCACCAAAGCAATGGATTGGTAAACTCTTTCGTCAAATGGGAGATGAGCTGATTGAAAGATTGAGATAAATTAGGAGTTTCCATAGATAAAAAAACATCCAGCTATTAGTTTGATCGTGGGTTTGACATGAAATATCTCATTCTTACCGCAATATTATTCATTTTTTAGCCCTTCACTTTCTTTCATTTGTCTAGGCAACTCAACTCTCTCAATTCTGCTCCCAAAAATGAAAACAAGACATGGAAGGGGTTTGCTTCCATGTCTTGTTTTCAGTCCTTACATGGGAATCCAATTATGCGACTGATCTCATTGCTAGTAATAGTTCTAGAGCTAGTGTTTGTATTAGCAATTAGTACATCATCAACAACAGCAGTAGGAGATGATCATCAAGCCCTCTTGCCTCAAGCCCTGCCTGGCTGCTCTGACCACTGTGGCAACATCACAATCCTATATCCATTCGGCATGGCTAGAGGTTGTTACCGCCTACCCGAATTTTTTGTCAATTGTACTGCTACTCCTACTACCACTATCGATATTAATTTTAAAGATGTTGGCCAACCCGAACCCTCAATAGGGCCAATCCCATATTTGATGATGGATAATCACACTTCTCTAAGGGTTACTAACATCTCACTTGACGGTAAGTTGCACGTTTTGCAGCCTATAGCCCGAAAGTGTATTGGTGATGAATATCAGACTAACAGTTCCCTCTACTTGCCCGATTCCTTCACCATTTCCGATACAAAAAACAAGTTATTCGCCGTCGGATGTGGTACTGCAGCAAGTTTTGAAGGTAGGCGCCGTAGCCCAAAACTAGGCCACGGAGGCCCTGGCAAAGAAAGACATTTACATGCATCTGGCTACTCTTTCGCCTTATGCAACAACGACACTGCTGAGAACAACGATGACTCTTGCTCTGGGGACGGATGTGGTCAAGCTTACATCCCTAGTGGATTGTTCCAGTTTGAGATGGTATTGGAGCAATGGTACTCTAACCATTTATACTCATGCAGCTATGGCTTCTTTGTGGAACAAGGCGAGTTCACATTCTCCCCCAACATAAGTTTGCAACAACTCAACAAGACTAGCCACCTTCCTATGGTTCTCAATTGGGAAATTGGGGATCATGGCCCATGCAGTTCAGCTAATAACAGCACGGATTTTGCATGCAAGGGAAATAGCACGTGCGTCAGTTGGCCCAATATCAATGGCTGGTCTATTGGTTACATTTGCCGGTGCTTGCCGGGTTACCAAGGAAATCCATACCACCCAGATGGTTGCCAAAGTGATCATGATGATCGGATCATCAAATCATCTTCATTGTTACATATATGTTGGGATTTTAATCAATTAATTACCACTTAGACTAATGTGTGATCATGAATTAATTGGTACGTATAATGACAGGACCCGCCCCGGAATTTCCCCCGAAACCGGGGCGGACCCCGTATTGTTGCCGACATCATACCGATGCCGGGCCCACTTACTAAAACCCAAGACAATCTACCAAAATTTTGGCAGAGTCTCCCCTGTAAAAAGCTCAAACCCAACAATAAACAACCTGCATAATTTACATCAATACACAACCCAACTGCCAGCATGCTTTTACAAACTACAATCCAACACAAATGGCCTCCGGCCTCAAGTGGTAGCCTAACATGGGCAATAACAGAGCGTCTACAGAATTTGTTTACAACAAACATGGGAGTAAAAAGAATTTATACAGACCCTATTAACAGACGACAAGTTCGGAGCTCGTGACTTGCTCGAATGCCTTCAGGAGCAACTACTGTCTGGGGGGCGCAAAACAGAAAGATGTGAGTGGACAGAAATAAAGTTTCACTTTAAAACAACATAGTAACCCCACCATGTAAAAATAATGCTCTAGCATGCAGTTTCACAATTCAGAAACCAAAACTCAA